ATTAATTAAAATAAAAATTTTTAATTAAACATTAATATTCGTAATCTTAATCCAAAAGCACTGCCCGAACCATCTTTAATCTTCTTTTGAAGAACACTTGCTACTCTGAAAAATATTACCGGCAGTTTGGAAAATGACTTTAGGAAAAAGTAACGAACTTGCGTTTTGGTGTAAGTCAGGAATATCGGCTGCTGATTTTTACCGGCCAGTCAGCAGAACAACGTAATTTTCCTCAAGTGTTGAGGCCAGCTAGGCTTTTGTTATTCAGCGTTACCATAACATAAAGTAATAGAGTAGTATTCAGAGTACTGATAGTGAAGCGCTTTTCTAACACAGCACCCATTCAGTGTTCTTCTCTAGAAATATCTTTATCGGTGTCTACCTTGGCTACATGTCTCTCTAGTTGTCCAACTTATAACACTTCACCACTGTGCCTGATGACCAAAAGAACATCATAGACTGACAAGAGGATACACGGTTGGATGAAGAAAGGGGAGGTAAAAATCAGAACGAAAGCTTAACAATAACAAAGATATAAAAAAACTACGACAGAACAGCGAGACACAAATAGAACTAAATAGTGCATCCAGAACATGCAGTCATTTCTGACGAGATTCCCCGGTTTGACCCCACTGATGATAGCTTTACTGGCAACTGCTAGGTCGTTAGCGGCCAAACCGAATAGATACACAGGAACATGATCGGAAGTTCCGGGAAGAAAGCTAGCTTATTTGGTAGATTTGAAGAGGATACATCTGGTAGGTGTCTCGCAATGCTGCACGGTTTTCCTACTGTCGTTGTGCATACACAGCTAATCTTCAAGGCAATAACTTCAAAACTTATATGTTAAGATATTCATCGAAGGACACATCTTTATTTATCAGGATGCTTCATCGCTTCACAAAGCCTCTGATCCGAAGCGAATACAGATATGCCGAACTAACATGTAATTTATTATTATTGACTTCCTCATAATTTATTCATTCCCTGGCCAGAGGCTAAAAACAAATAGCTCCAAACGTATTCAAGCCTGAAAGTACTACAATTTGTTTACCATGGTTACTCCTAGGCATCGCCACGTATTCCCATGTATAATGGTATTCCTTAGTCAGCGTGACAGTAAAGAACCTTATCAATATTGCCATTTGTGGACACGACTACCGTTTCGACTTATTTACTTGTATGCTTAATTTACAGAACATTTATCAATGAGTGAATTGAAACGGTTTTAATAACCAAAGTATAAAGAAGTTAGCGTAAGGGAATATTTTTATGTTTATGCGACAGGAAATAATGAATACCAGCACCTGAAACAGCGTTGCTGATCAGCGCAAGCAAAACGGTGCAAAACGGGCCTGGCACTGCAGGTGCTCAAACACACGTTACCCTTCTAGACAACCAACAGAAACAGAATTGTGCAATACGCTGAGAAACCCGGTCTTATGAAGAGTTATGCGTCCATGCACAAAGCAGTGTTAAAATGGTGACAAGGAGTACGTGCCGTCCTGTCAAAGCCATTTTAAAACTCTCATGAGAATTAATGAACAACGACGCGTGACAAAATTTTTCGCCTTATGAAGTCATTTATGTTTACTACTTGAGTGAAGGCATAAAGCAATGTATAAACTTTCGGGTATGAGATCGATGCTTCCAATAAAGCTGACACGATTGTAGATAATGCCAACACCCACATCTCGCCCTCGAAGTTGCGAAGTTGTGTTGTTACGAAAATGTTTCCTTGGAAATGAATCGATGCAAAGTAAAATTTGTTATTATTAATTACTCTTATAGTAAGTACTACTATTATTGTTCGCCATGATGGCAGGTAATACGCGGAGGTCGGTAATTAGCTCCTACGATTTTCTTACAACTCGTGGTCGGTTCGATGTGACCTAGGACCGTTACCGTTTTGCTACAACATTTTCGTCTTAAGGCAGTAGAGCTTCAGTGGCAGAGCCGTGCAAATCTGTGCTGTGCGTTAGACCGTACGGAATTGCCTAGCCGCTTGTTTGCCTTGTCCTCCTCGTCTGAACTCTCTGAGAATCAGAAGAGCAAAGCAGCTCATTACAGACGATCTGATTTCACAGCTGACAGGTGATACATTGGTCATCTGATTAATCTTTACCAGATTAGCTTTCATGGCGGTTCCTTTCCACTGATCACTGTCCAACCTCTTGGCGTAGCCAAAGTTTCACCAGCAGACCAAACTTCGCCATCAACAAACTTTTATCCCCCCCCTGCTTGGTGGGCTTGAAGTGTGGGAATCTGTTAAAAGATAATTTTTGTAAACATGCCGCTTTGGTACATTCCTTCTTGAACAGAAAATAGAAAGTATTCATCGGCAAAACGTAAACGAATTTAAGAAGTAGCGTACGTGGCGCTGGAACAAAAAGGATACGATGATGTGGTGGACGATGCAGATAATGGTAACGACGATGAGGAGGAAGAGGAGGAGGTTGGTCGCTACGATGACGATCTAATGATCAGAAGTTCTGGTCTGCGGGGTATCACAGAAGTCTACCGATGCAACAGAGAACTCGAGCTTGTAAACACTAAAGAATGTCTCTACGGCCATGTGCAGGAGACCTGGCTCAGTCGACAACTAACGTAACATGAAGACTGCTACTTTACACTATCGAACCATTACACTGCCTGATATCGCTACCTTTGCCTCGTCACTTCAACAGAATGGCGTGTGTGCAGTTTCGATGTGCAATGACGTAATCTTGGATGGCATCGGTGACCGTTGCTGAAGCGATTGAACCTGATCCACCGTAAGATGATCGCTTACAGTTAAAAGCTGCGTTTCTTCGAGGCGACGGTTTTCGGTAATATAAAGTATACTTCCTGTCGAAAAACACTCAATCAGTTCGGT